AAGAGCAGTACACACATTAGAAATGTGGTACAGACACTCCACGGGCTCAGTGACATGGCCCCAGAAGGTTGTGATGAGAAGGAAAAAAAAGTCTAAAAAATTCCAAAAGTCAACTTGGGAGCTAGAAACTTAGAAACCCGGTGGAAAATTGTGCTGACATTTATTATATGTGGTTGCCACTGCAGCGGCCACCCTGCTAAGGGCTAACGCTGAGAAATGACAGCAGAGGGGGACTATGGCTAAAACACTTTTATAATAACACAAAAATGTTAAATGGGCTATAAAATATAGACAAGAGGTTTCAGTTTGTAAGAGAAAATAATTTCCTTTGAGTATTACGCCTCTGTGTCGGTCACTGTTTTGGAAGCTGCGAGGCAATCATTCAAAGTCATAACTTCAGCTCAGATCGATAGAGACTACAATTGCAAATCAGGCACTAACCCCTTGGAACTTTTGGAATATTTCGTGGAATCGCCTATTGATAAGCACTGACCTGATGTTAATAGAAAAAATGTTTTGGAGGACAGAAGTGGAGAATGACAAGGCCTGGGGAGAATGTATATTTCTCCATATAGTTAAAATTTTAACAACCGTAAGCAAAGTCATAAATGCATTAATATGAAAGCTTCAGAGGGAAAGAAGCACTGTCAACCCAAAGGACAGTTCAGAAGCCTCTAGCAGTCTGCATGACTCATGATCCCATGAGCAGCCCCCAAGGACGCATGCATGGTGGGAACGCTGGAAGGCATCACTCAGGCTCCACCTTTGATAGACCTACACCAGCCTAGCCTGCACCAGCCAGTTGTGTAAGCTGGAAATCCAGGAGTGCACCATTTCTGATGCCTCTGCCTCCCGAACTAATCTATCAAATGGGACCAGCTGACTCTACCTCCTAAATGTTATCTCTGATCCGTCCACCTCTCTCCCTGTTTCTTCACAGCACTGGTGACCATCTGTTATGGGCTAAATTGTGTCTCCTCCGCCTCCCAAATTCTTTATTTATTTATTTATTTTGAGAGAGAGAACGAATGAGAGAACACGCACATGAGCTGGAGAGGGGCAGAGAAACAGGGAGAGAGAGAATCCCAAGTAAGGTCTGCACTAACAGCACAGATAATGGGGCTCGAACTCATAAAGCATGAGATGATGACCTGAGCTGAAATCAGAAGCCAGATGCTCAACTGACTGAGCCACCCAGGCGCCCCTCCTCCCTCAAATTCTTATGTTGAAGCCCTACTGCTCAACACCTCAGACTGTGACCGTATTTGGAGATGGGGCTTCTAGGGCAGACCTTAATCTAATCTATCCGGTGTCCTGATAAGCAGAGAAAATCTGGACACACTGAGATGTATCACGAGCATGTGTGCACAAAGGAAAGCCCATGTGAGAACACAGTTAGCAAAGGAGAGAGGCCTCAGGAGTAACCAACCCCGCCATCTCCATCTCAGAACTGCGGGCAAATAAATTTCTGCTTTTTAAGCCACCCTAGACTGTGGGGTTTTGCATGGGAGCCTTAGCAAACTAATTTACACTCTGTTGTAGATCACCTAATTGCCGATTTCATTTCCAGTGTTTTCAGTCCCAGTGGAAGGGCAGAGAATGAATGAGGGCAGAGAGTTACTCCCATCCACCCAGCGCAGTGCCTGTCCTGGAGTATACACTCAGGAAGCATATGCTGCATGATGAATGGACATCTCTCCACCAGTCTGGTCCGGGCCATTACCACATCTTCCGTGATTCCAGAACTTTCCCCCTGATAGGTCTCCTCACTTCTCTACTCCCCTTCAACTTGTTCTCCACAGAGTAGCCAAAGTGATCTTGTAACACTTAGATCAAATCAATCCCTAGGATAAATCCCTCCACTGGCTCCTTTTTGCTCTTAGATTAAAACCTAACCTCATCAGGACTCTCAGGGGCTCGAGTGGTCAGGCCTCAGCCTCCCTCCCACCTTCATCCACATCTACGCTCCTTACACTCTCGGTGTTCTGGCAGCACCTGCGGATTCCCAGTGCAGGACATGTGCACTTACTGTTTCCAATGCCTGGCATGCCCCCCTCCCTAGATCACTACACAGGGGACTCCCGTCTCAGCTCAGACCACATGTGCATAGACACCTCGCCTGCCCCTTAGACTCTAAGGACTCCCCCCTCATGCCAGCCACTCACATTTATTATATTCCCAGCACTATCACTATCTGAAATTATATTCATTACTATTTAAGATTACTTATTTAGTAGCTTTCCTCCCTATGCAAGTCTGCTAAGTTAACACCACGGAGACAAGGATCTAACCAACTTGATCATTTAAGTATCCCGTGTCCAGCACAAATTCCTGACACATAGCTAATGCACAAATAATTTGCTTACTGAAAGGAAGTATGAATAAAAAGCTGGAGTAGGGGCGCCTGGGTGGCGCAGTCGGTTAAGCGTCCGACTTCAGCCAGGTCACGATCTCGCGGTCCGTGAGTTCGAGCCCCGCGTCAGGCTCTGGGCTGATGGCTCGGAGCCTGGAGCCTGTTTCCGATTCTGTGTCTCCCTCTCTCTCTGCCCCTCCCCTGTTCATGCTCTGTCTCTCTCTGTCCCAAAAATAAATAAAAAAAAATAAAAAAAAATAAAAAGGTTGAAAAAGAAAAAAAAAAAGCTGGAGTAGACGTAGACTGAGCAGAGAACTCAACCAGGGGCTTTTGCGAGGTACCATTCACCTCCACACAACTCAGGAGCTATGGATAGACCCCTGAGGACTATATGCACTGCCAGTATTTGTACATATAATTAAGTGGAATTTTTCCAATTCCAGACACTATTGCAGTGTCCTCACATTTTGACTTCTGGGAAGTTTAAGCTTAAGGTGCCTAAGCATCAAGGCTGAATTCCGTGTTGCACTCACATTACAAAGGAACACAGCCAGAGTCACGTCTTTCTGAGTTATATCCCATGGCCCATTTGCTGGGTAACTGGCTCTCAGCAATTCCATAACCACGCAATCCACATTCCTCAGCAGGAGGAATACGAGGCTGTCAGGAGAATCCTAAATTCAGGAGCATCCCCAAGGAGGGGGAGAACTCCAAAGGGGGGGGCATGAGACTTTAGGGTGGGGAGCATCAAACACCCTCCAGAGAACCCTCTCCCATAGAGATTTCTCAGAGAGAAGGGAGCATTTGGCTTTCATAGCAGACCATGGACAGCGCTTGGAATCAATGGGCAGAGCTAAGACTGGAACAAGGGACAGGTATCAGGTGGGGTGACAGCAGAGGGGAAAACTCCAGCTCGAGTGGAGAGATCTGGGATCCCTTATGAGAAAGCCAGACTGGATTCTCCTGGGAAGAGCCAAAGAAAGACAGAGTGCAAACATCAAGCACTGAGTAAGAAGCAGGGGTGTGGCAGGCTGCAGCAGAGGTGAGGGTCCCCGACGATGATGGGATGTGCACAGGGCTTGGGGAAACTAATGTGGTCTCGCAGAGAGACTACCTCAAAACTGGGAAAGCTGTGCAGAGCTGGGTGTGTGGCGTTAAGTAGACTGCAGGGAGGGCAGGCATCTCCTGACACAGCTGTCCAGTCTGACATCAAAGATCATTCTTTAATGGGCAGCTGATTCCCAGAAGGCCAGGGAGGGGAAGGCTTAATCCAGGTGAGGGGATTAACTGTGTATCTACTATATAAACACTGCGTGGCTGGGGGGACTTCTTCATGTGAGGTCTGGATCAGCAGGCATGACTGAAATCCCAAAGACCCAGGAAGTAACCCAAAGGATAGGAAGTTTAGACCAGAGCAATGAATAACCCAGTAGGATCTCAGCACTGAGAGGCTGGCTGATTTAGGGGAAGAGGGGCTCTCTTGCACAGACACAAAATACAATTATCCCAAAGACTGTCTTGCCAAAACCCTTTGGAACTTGTCCCAAATTCTTCCAAAGAAGGTGCTCTAAGCAATGAGTCCAATAATGGCAGTCTAGTGCCGGGGAAGGAAGTGATGTTCAAAGTGCTAACAATTCATTGCAGAAGTGGAAAGTGTCATTTCAATTAAAGCAACATGCATGGGGCTGAACTGAAAACAGCCCCAAAATGAAAGGATTGAAAGGCCCTGTAACAACCAGGGACAAAGACACTTGTGGAGAAAAGAGCAAACTGCACCACAACCAATGGTGCAAGGAGGGAGTAGAGAGGGCCCTCCAGGAGATACCTGGAACCAGACAGCCGCCAATAAATTAATGGGAATCTCCAACATGCAGAACGGCTGCTACCCCCGCTAGCCCTCCTCGGAGGTGCCCTAATCCCCGTGTGTATCCCTCTGATTACAGTCCCCCCCCCCCCAGCCAAATGTCACCAGATATGATGCCACCAACTGCCTCTGGGATTTTGCAAAACTGGGAACCACAGTTCTTTGCACAAACACATCCAGAAATCTCAGCCTAAATACAACAAAAGGAGCTTCAAGGGGAAAGTGGATGGGCACAGAAGGAGCAGTATGCCTTTGAGGACTCCTGATACTGTACTAGAAGTACTAACCACATGAGAAATCTCTCCCTACGTCTACACAGAGCTGATGAGTGTATCTAAAATTACTTTTAAAGAATTAATAGCTTTGGGGTACTTTTCCCTGTGAGTGAGCAGTGGCTAATTTGCCCAGTGTTTTGGTGTTTTTTTTTTTTAAGACAATTGCACAAGATTCCATCCAAAGCCTTCTAATTCTTCCACTTCAGTGGTCTGAATCCCACTAATAAACAATCAGGACTTTAGACTCCCTTAATGATGGGGAGAGATTCAAACGAAGATGTTTTGCCACTCTCTGCAAATTTCCTGTAGGTACTGCCTGTTGAACAGGCCAGCAAAATGACGAATTTATTCAGGACTGATTGCATTGAGTATGTAAGCATTTCTGAAGGATTAAAAAGGAGGGTGAGAAATGGTTGTGAGCTGAATGAATGGCGGTGGGGGGACTACAGCCTCCAAGCTCCCCAGTCCGGCATGGAGCAAGGCTGTGAGGAGGAGGGAACAGACTTACTGCATGGATGAGCAAGGACCCGGACCTCGTCCACAGCGATGTAGCCAGGATGACCCTTCAAAGAGACGGATTCAAATATCACCTGCAACACACATGGGGGAGAGTCAATTTTGCAGAAGTGGTTGTAGGCATTATAGGAAGCCGCCCAGCCCCCAAACCTTCTCTTTCAGCTTCCCATGAGAGCCTCTCAAAGAGGCACTACATTACTCTAGCACGCTACCCTGCCAATTGCCTCGGATTTCCAAAACAAGGTAAAAAGGCCACATTCTAATGGCCAGCCAAAGAAGAATCAGCCACACGGAACATTTTTAACGGATTTCATAAATAACGCTTGAATGCAGAAAAACCACCCAAACATGGCTTGAAACCCCAATCTGCACCTTTTTCATTGTTGTTTCAAGTGAAACACAGAGAAGAATTACTTCCTAATATCCCAAACTTTCTTATGAACTGTGACAGGAGCTTACCTTAGAAGCTACCATAAACCAAGGAGGGTTTACCCTGATTTGATTCAACATCCCCCAGGAATATATTCCATCTGAGTTTTTAAAAATTTTAATTCCAATACAGTTAACATACAGTTTCAGGTGTCCAATATAGCAATTCAGCACTTCCACACAATACCTGGTGTTCATCACAAGTGCACTCCCTAATCCTCAGCCCCTATTTCTCCCCTCCCCCCACCCACCTGCCCTCTGGTCACCATTAGTTTGCTCTCTGCACTTAAGAGTCTGTTTCTTGGTTGGTCTCTCTCCTCAATCTCAATTTCTTAATAATACCTCTTGAAGATAAGCCCCATACACAACTGTTGGTATCCGGGAATTCAAGGGCAACAAGTTCTTTGAATTCTCCATTCTGACTCTCACCCAAACTGTGTATTTCAGTGGAAATTTTACAACTCAGTTAACAGCTGTCCTTGTCACCCACTAACTTCACCTAGAAGATGTGACTATGTGGACACTGTGATTAATGCCCTTGACCTCCCTAATTCCAATGGTCTTTATCTCCCATCAGCTTCAGCCATAGGTATAAATGCTCGGGCTTCCATATTCTTTAAAAGCTACCCTCTGGCAGCAGGATCTGCTCTAGCACAGTCCAGCTGTGTTACTATCACATTTGGGATTCTCAGTAGTTTCATCAACACTCACTCTCAACACTTCCTTACTTCCCACTGCAAAACTCCCCCCTCCCACTATAATCTGGACTTTTTCCCCCAACACTTTCCCCAGGACTGCTCTCATGGCAAATACCAATAACCTCATAGTTGCCAAATTCAATAGATAGTGTCCCATCTTTATCTTAAGAAGGAAGACAGTGTAATGCTTGAGCTCTCGATCAGAAGGCCTGGGTTGCAGTTTTGGCTACACCACTTACTAAGCATGTGACCTTGGGCTATCCTAATTATTAACACATGTTCCATGAATGAATACAATGAATACAAGTCATGGGAGAATGGGTGTGTGATAGTGAAACATATATTAGTTCAGTGTTATCTCTCCCTTCTTCTGCAGAAATAAGAATTCTATAATGAAAGAGAGAATCTTTCATTCATCAGAATTCTTGAGAATTTTTTTTTGTAAAGCATGAGATTTGGGTTTTTTTGTAAAGGTGAGATTTGGGTTTCTCAAAAATAGAAGAAAAATATTCCATAATAAACAAGGGAAAGAATGTTCTCGTTTTCCATTAAATGAGTTAATAATTATAAATTGTTTGCAACATACATGGTAAGATATTGGTAAATGTTACTATTGTTGTTCTTACTCTTGAGACAGGGATGGAAAGAAAAGAGGGAATGTGAGGGAATGGTGGCAGGTTTGGGGAGAGGAGGAAGCTAATAGACTCCCTGATGTGACTGTCCCCTGTAGCCGCGACCCCAAGTTTCCACTGAAGTTCATTCTCTCAACAGACTCTTTGGTGTAAGTCATGACTGGCAAAAAATGGTGGAAGCTGGACCTTGGGACCATGTGGAGTTACATGGAAATAGAGGCACATGTGGCTTCAGGAACCAAGGGAGTTAGGGAAGGGTGGTCAGGAGAAAGCACAGAAGCATAGAGAAAAGGACCATGGCAGCCCAGCAACTCATTGATAAAGGCTCCAGACTCACAAGACATTAGAACTAGGTCCATAGTGTATTTATACCAAAGGGCAGACTCTGGATACAGCTGAGAATAAAGCGCTTCCCAAGCAAGAACTGGGGAAAGTCCTCTCTCTGTCACTGCCAGATCACTCAGAGGAAAATGCTCACAAACATGAAGGAGCCCAGAGCATGCGTCTTTAGCATGCCATTCCAGAATCACAATTTTTTTTTTAATAAAAATCATGCAAGATGTCATGAGATAGACACCTTTGGTGTCTGGGGATTAAAGAGTCAACAACACACGGGGCGCTTGGGTGGCGCAGTCGGTTGAGCGTCCGACTTCAGCCAGGTCACGATCTCGCAGTCCGTGAGTTCGAGCCCCGCATCAGGCTCTGGGCTGATGGCTCAGAGCCTGGAGCCTGTTTCCGATTCTGTGTCTCCCTCTCTCTCTGCCCCTCCCCCATTCATGCTCTGTCTCTCTCTGTCCCAAAAATAAATAAAAAAAAAAGTTGAAAAAAAAATTTTTAAAGAGTCAACAACACAGATACGAGACTGGATATAGCAGAAATAGTGCTGGAAGGGAAAGGAAAGATAAGAAGGTCCATGCTGAACCCTCCAAGGCCTACCTGGACTCAACTGCTGAGGCAGGTCCCCTGAACACTCTCGATGAGGCTGGCACTAAGGTGAGTAAAGAATTGTAGAGGCTACTTTAGTGCTGTCTGTTTATAGCAGGCAGGGAGAGTGGGGTGGGAGACAGGCAGAAGGAGGCTTACCAACACCTAGCAATACTCCATGTCAGTGTAAGGGAGCAGGGACCCCGAGGGGCAGAGATGCAGCCCAAGGCTCAGGCCGGGAAACCCACCTTCTCTGCAGGACATTCTTCAATCTTAAGGCCACTATGTGGACCTAAGGTCAACTACACATGCCCCAGCCCCTAAAAACCTTAAAGACCTCCTGGGGCTTATATGGAAAGGCATAAACATCTCTCTCATGCATGAGCTGTGGAAAAGCCAGCAAATCATCTCCCAGGAGAGGCTCAGAGATGAATCATCCTCAACCTCTCCAAAAAGCAGGTTGTGTGCATGTTAGGAGAGGGGAAGGAGATGTCAGGACATGGTTTAAGGGAGCTGGCATTTTATCCTCCCTTTTGGTGGTCCTTGAGCACAGAATCTGCATAGCAAGAGTTTCAAGGGGCTGCAAACATTTTATCCAAAGATGAGAGAGAAAAATGTTGGCTACCAGCTCCCCTCACAGGAAGAAGACCACATATATCTTCATGGAGAGGGATTCTTTAGGGCGAAATCAAGAGGGCCTCTCGCCCACACCAGCCCCAAGAGGCCTGGCTAAGATGAGGAGTAGGATCTGCTGCCCAGCAGAGAAGGGGAGGTGGGAGAGAGGAGATGGGGTAGAGTGCGAATGGTGGGCGAAAGCAGCCCCCTCTGTGAGACGCACCCCCTTGAACTGTGCGTGAAGTTGCTAATCCTAGAGAGTGACAGATCCCTGAGAAAGAGACTGGACTTCAAGTCCAGTTGAATCCAAGCCAGGCAGGTCCTAGATTTCACAAGTCTACATAGCAATTATAAGCAATGAATAAGACCACTTCACCTAGGCTGGTGATAGAAAACACAGTGAGCAGGTAATTGATAAAAAGTTCTCATTTTTTTTTAAATCTTGGGATAGAACAGTTTAGAATCATTAAAAACATAAAATAGAGTTAATACCTCCTGCAAAGGGGCAGAGATTTAAAGTGTAGCTTAGGCAGTTTTAATAAGCCCCAGCTCCTGAGAGGAGGCAGGTGTGGGGCTAGAAGGCAGGGGGGGAGTTCACCACGGGCCCTGCTGAAACCCTGGTGCCACAGAGCCCACTAATAGGAAAGATGAAATTTCTGTGTTTATTACAGAGCTAAAAGTCAATTTTGCAACTATGAAATATGACTTTAATAAATGAATACACAAGCCATCAGGATCTGAGTCCCAGCACTGCTAAAAACTAAAATTGTATTTAGTCCACAGAATCATACATGCAGGACGGGAGCTTAGGGTCCGATGAATTTTAAAATCTGCTTTGCAAGTATCTTTGAATCTCTTGATAGACCTCCCCTTCTCTCCCCTGGATGTATGTGTGGGTGCTGAATCTGGGAGTATGCAGGTGTATGTGCACCTGTGTGTGCCCCTGTGTGTGTGTGGCCATGGGACTATTAGTGGTTGTGTGTGTGTGTTTGTGTGTGCGCGCACACATGCACGCACATGCATGTCTGAGGTGGTGGGGGAGACGTGTCTGTTTTAAACCGTTGCTTTTGGTGCATTACTGGCCTTCTTACCACAAAGCTCACAGCAGAGGATATAATGTAACATAATGATGCTGTAGTAGCCGACAAGTTGGAAATGAGAAAATTCTCCCAGATGAAGCTGCCTATCACAGGGATGGTACAGAGCTTACAGAGCAGAACTCAACCACAGTGGCCATTTCTTCAAAGAAGAAATTGTTCCCCCTTCCTCTTTTTCTGTTCTCCCCTCTGTTCCTCCCCCTTCCCTCCAATAATTACTGAGGGCTACTGCAAGCCTGACATGTCATTTTATATAGATGCAATCTCATTCAATGCACAGAAGAACCCTCCATTGTACCGATTTCCCTCTCCAGTTTACAAATGAAAGCAAGTGATTCGGAATGATGACAGGATACATCCAACATTACACAGCTAGGGAGTGGAAGATTCTCATAATGGGCTTTTCCCCCCAAAAGCAAGAAACTGAGCTTGAAGCCAGAGGACCTACGCAGGATTATAGGAACCTCAGTTTACCAATAATATGCCCTACTCTAGAACACAAGTCTTGCTCCTTCCCAACACAGGGAGTTACTACACAGATAAATTAGAGGCAATATGCTTACCACAGGGCTGGGACAAAGAGGGTATCCAAGAAATGTCCTTTTCCCTCTCTGTACCCCATTGAAGAGCATCGCCAACAGTGGCACTGTCCTCACCTGGGTCACTTTTCCTGCTCATTACACTTGCATCTGTGGCCCTCCCCTATAATCCATTTAACATCAGGCCCTACGTAGAGGTTTTCCAGTTGGAGTCCTAAGGCCTCACTGGGGGTATCCGTGGACTTACAGACACGCTTACTTTATACTCAGTTATACAGGGGGTAGTCTTGGGCCCGGGCATCAAGATTCAGGCCTCGACTTTTCCAATGGTCTGCTGTGTGCCCTTGGACTTCAGTATCCATCTCTAAACCTCAGCTTTATCACCTACATCAAGGTTCAGCAAACCATGGCCTGGAGGTCCAATCTGGCCCACCACTTGTTTTTAGACATAAAGTTTTACTGGAACACAGCTACATCCTTCCACTCATTTCCATATTGTTTGCGGCTGCCTGCACAGTCTATCTGAAGGGACTACATACCATAGATGTTGAACTGAAGGATGCCTGAGGAGCTCCCAGCCACTAACCTTGCCAGCCTCGGGTCCATTTTCTGCTTCAGACTCTACAGAAATTTCTCCAAAATGCTGATTTGACTATGTCACTTTCTTACTTAAAACCTTTCAAGAGTAGGCATGGGGATAACTGCAAATAGACAGAAGGGATTTACAGGGGTGATGAAAATGTTCTAAAACTGGTTTATGGTGATGACTGCACAACTTAGATTTACTAAAAATCACTGGATTGCACACTTCAGTGGGTAAATTCTAGGATATGTAAATTGTACCTAAATGCATACAGTTGTTTTAAAAAAAGAAAAGCTTTCAAGAGTCCCAGGCCAAGCGGACCCAGAGCGGTGCTCCCCCAGGCACGCTCTGCAGACTGACGCCAGCCTACGCCCCATGCATTCTCGGCCCGCAGTGGGGTAAATAGGGCAAGTGGGAGAGGTGTTTAGAAACTATCGCAGCACTGTGGCACTGCTGTGACATTTTTACTAGTCATGAAAGCACTGGGCCACAGTGAGTTGAGAAGAAAAAAAAGGTCTCTTGCAACAGTTTGAGTGGCACTGCTCTAGAGATTACACTTAATCTCCTTGGCCTGGCATTCAAAGCCATCCACGACCATCTCTCTTCTGCAAGCTTAGCTCCTTGTGTATTTCCTTTGTGACCTACCCTGAAACAAGGGAGAGTTTCCAAACTCTGCAAAACTCTCTCACTCACTCCTCCAGCCCCTGGCATGCACCATCCCTGACAACTCAAATGCCTTTCCCTTCCTTTTTCAATAATTATTGATTCATCCTTCAAGACTTAGCCTAGCTGCCACCTCCGCCTGAAAGCCTTCCTAATTGCTTTTCCCCCAAATGCTCTATTCCTCAGGGGTGATCTTTTGACTAGTTATCTCATCTCTCAGAACCTCAATTTTTTCATCCATAAAATAGGGATAATAACAGAATGTCCCTCATCAGATCTCTTTAAGCAGTTACTTTATAAAAGGCTTCCCTGTCTCTGTTCCCTCAGCATCCTGGAGATCCCACTGTGTCCCACACTACAGTAACTGCTTATTTATGTATTAGTCTCCTCTTCCTGAGAATGATTTCCAGGGAGGCAGGGGCCATGCTGGATCGCCTCTGCACCTGCAGGGTCTTGCTAGAAGAGGCTCAGTAAATACAAGTTGCACAAATGAGTAAAGTAAGTCCTTTCTTGGCCGAACAACTCTAGTTGGGCAAGAGATATATACGATTACTTTTTAAAAACTCAAACCATGAAATGCCATACCTGGTAGAAATGTGGCCAGAAGGTGCTGATGGCAAGCTCTGCCTTCACCCAGCCCTCGGTGACGACCCCAGACACGTTCCAGACAGGGTTCCCCTGGGGGCCGCCGTTCACCTTCACATAGACATTCAAGGCTCCTGGGCTGGACCTATCACGGCTGGAGAAGTAGTAATGGAAATCGATACAGTGGGTGTCATTCTCCTTCAGGGTCGGCAGGAGAAGGTGGGCCTTCTGGCCAGAGGCCCTCCCAGAGCTGTTCACCATCATGAAGGATCCTGGAGACCCACAAAGGGAGTGGGAAGTAGAGACAAAGAGAGAAAAAGAAAATCCTTCTGATAATCAGTCATACCCACAAACCTAATGGCCAGAAATCAAGTCACTCTAGGAGCTTCTGATTGATCCTGAGGAAGCCACATCCTATCTTTCAACCTGAGTATCATCTTCCGTAACTGGGAATTTAGAAAATCTACTGAACAAGGCAGTTTAAAAATTAAGAGATGGCAACATGGGGGCACCTCGTGGCTCAGCCGGTCGAGTGTCCAACTCTTGGTTTCGCATCACAATCTCAGGGTTTGTGAGACTGAGCCTTGCATCAGGTTGTGCACAGACAGCATGGAGCCTGCTTGGGATTCTACCTCTCCCTTTCTCTGTGCTCCTCCCCTGCACATGCATGCATGCTCGACGCTCTCACTCTCTCTCTCAAAAAACATTTTTTTTTTAAAGTGAGAGATGGCAACACATATGTATATTTCTACAAAGTAGACAGTCTATATAAATTTACAGAAGAAACATCACATGCAGCAGGTCACAAAGGAAACATGAAACAAAATCCCAGGAACATAGCTACCTGTGCAAACTCTAAGTGCAAAATGTGAAATGCAACCTCATGCAAGCTCAGGCTGTCTCGATGGATGCAAAACGTCTCCAATGTAAGAAGTGTCCTCCCAACATATTCCGCTTGGACCCTTGCACGCAGTTCAAGGAATAATTGACAACTACCCCTTCACACTGCATTCAGCACGAGGAATGATTCTAAGTATCCCAGAAGGACATATAAAACATAGAATATATTCAGTTAAGCAAGGAAGACCCCAAAGAAAGTGAGAGACAACGAGAAGATGTCCGGCCTGGAATAGAGGGTAAGTAATAATTCCTAAGCACTTCAGGAGTACTAATGTGATGCCTTGTGTCTTTTTAATATGTTATTCAATTTAATTTTCAGAATGAGCCTGGGAAGTAGAGGATTTTCATTCTATTTAAAGACTGAATGACTTGCCCCAGGCCCTCAGACAGGGAAGGATGGAGGAGACCCAGATTCTCTCCAACTCCACATTTACACTCTTACTCTGTGCAGAAGACATGACTACTGTTTTCAAGCATTAGGCAGGATGACTGCCCACAGAAAGGAAGGGAGCGTCTTTGGAGTTGCTTTGACAGATTAAATGGTTGTTTCTATAGTTCTTCAACCCACCCTGGATTCGTCCCGGGCCTCCCAGAAGAGGCAGAGGCCATATCCCCACCCTTGACTTTGGGCCGCACCTGCTTTGGTCAACGGGATGTCAACACACTGAATCAGGCAGAGGCTTGAAGTGTGCATATGCCTAGCTACGCTAGCCCTCTTGCACGATCACCGTCTTTCAGAAGAAGACTGCCCCAGCTAGCTGCTGCCTCTTTCAGCTGAGGATTAAGAACTGACATGTGGGGTCAAGAACCGAGCTCAGCCAGCACTGAAGAACCAAGCCATCCCCACACCGCAGCTAGAAGCACAGCCACACAGTCAATACCCCAACCCAGATCTGCCAGTCCACAATCAATGCTCAGACCCATGAGTGTGAGAGTAAATGCTCACTGCTGTTTGCCGCTGAGTTTCCTCTTCTTTTGCTGGGCAGCATTACTGTGGCAATTGCTAATTGATAAAGGTGCTAGAGAGGCAGATCTATGAAAGAAACCACAGGAGGCAAATTTCCATTTAAAGGGCCTTCTAACAAAGGCCCTGGAGACATAGTTCCTGGCCACTACAGGTGGCTAAACAGAGCCTGGACAAGTGAAGAGATGTCTAAGGAAACTTCACCATCAACTGCTAGGGCTGAACTCTGTGACTTAAAGTCCCATGATGCTATGAAATAAACTACATCGTAAAACACAGGAGATCAACTCGGGATTCTGGGACGAAGACTCCTACCTAGAAAAACATTGTTGCTTTGAAATCTCATTTTAACCGCTAAAATCTTCAATTCAGAATGAAACCTTAAGACTGCTTATTCCCAATTGAGGTAAGCCACTGTAGGAAGCAGCCTTATTCATGCACCGTAAAACCCAGAAGATTGGAGCTGCCAGCTAATAAGTACTGGGCACTGTTGCTCATTGGGATTCTAGAGGGTACCAAACATTCAAAGCCCATACTCCTTGGATTCTGCATGAATTTAAAAATAGACACGGGACAGGGATGCCTGGGTGGCTCAGTCGGTTGGGCGTCTGGCTCTTGGTTTTGGCTCAGGTCATGATCTCACGTTTGTCAGTTCAAGCCCCACATTGGGCTCTGTGCTGATGGCACAGAGCATACTTCTCCCTCTCTCCCTCTCTCTGCCCTTCCCCCTCTTGCGCTTGCTCTCTCTCTCTCTCTCTCTCAAAAGAAAACAAAAAAGAAACTTAATTTCACACAGGACAGATAGAGTTCAAAATTCCTATTTTATTATTCACAAAACTGGATTAGAGAAAGTAACTTGGACTTGAGGCCAAATCAGGCTTCTGCATTATCTTCTCTGCGCGAGCACACAAAGCAGGTGGATGGTGGTGGACTCCCTCCTTCTGACTCCACCCAGATCCCTAGGCCTGGAGCTATCCTGTAGAGACGGCCACTTAGGGTCAATGGTAGGCCTATCCCGAAAATGAGCCAACGAGAAGTAAGGTGACTAAGACAGAGAAACAGGAACCTAGAGCTATCAGACTTTCACCATCCCACCAATCAGAAAACTCCCTGCCTCCTGGGACAGGAGCCACTGAAAGTAGCACAGAGGCCACGTCTCCCCAACCCCTCCATGTTTCCAAGAGAATCAAGTCTCCTTGTTTACGGCCTGGTGCTAACACAGGGTAAGTGGAGAGATGTCCCTTGGCAGATGTATTATCTCTAATTATCACAACCTCCCCATTGAGGCAGCAAAGAAAGAACCATGGCAAGGGGGAAACTGAGCACAGAAAGAAGACTGAGCTAGCATACATGCCTGTATTTGTTGACCTACATGCCTCAGGGTTCCAGAAGGTTTCCCAGGGATAGATGAGTGATGCCTCACAAGCCCCATGACGCAGACTGCACCTGCCACAGAGCTGTGGCACAGCTATGTGTAGGGACGGCAGCCTATGAAGCAAGCAGTGCCTGGCTCTCTCCACTAAGAATCCCATAGCGCCCCTGTGGGCATTTCAGCTCCTGTCCTGCCAATCCATACCGGGTTGCATATAATCCGCAGCACAAAGAGTCGGGGGCATTTCCCTTTCACCAGCTCAGGCTTCTACTTCTTCATCCCAGCTCCGGTGGTGAGCAAGCTCATGGAAGAGGCAGAGCTACGTAACATACATACACCTCCATGACCCTAGAGCTTCTCTCTATCCTGCTGTCCCCGTGACTGCAGATAGACGAGGCTCCACCTCCCACAAGGCAGAGGTGCTGAAAGTGTTTGGCCTTCTATCTACCCTCCATTTGGAGAGATTCCTGGTTCGTTAACACACCTGTCCTCTTTGTTCTGGGCACAGAGCTGGACTGCATCCCCCAGCCTCCTTTTTAGAGATTGGTGGGGCCACACAACTGGGTTGTAGCCAATGGGGCCCAAGTATGGAAGTGTGCCACTTGGCACATGGAGGCTTGGTTCGTAAAAGCCACCTCCCTCCCCCCAACCCTACTTCCACTGCCCCACCCTCCATTAGCTTGTCCCCCAAAGGATGGTCTGTCAACCCACAGCATCACCATCACCTGCAAGTTTGTAAGAAATGCAGAATCTTGGGGCACCTGGGTGGCTCAGTAGGTTAAGTGTCCAACTTCAGCTCAGGTCATGATCTCATGGTTCACGTGTTGGGTTCTGTGCTGACAGCTCAGAGCCTGGAATCTGCTTCAGATTCTGTGTCTCCCTCTCGCTCCCTCTCTCTTTGCCCCTCCCCTGCTCGCACTCTGAAATGGAACACAGTAAAAGGAGCCTGGTTCCCTGAATGACCATGACCATCAGGAAGGCTACCCAACTATTAGAAACACTCATTTTGGCTTTAAGAAAACAAGGAATAAACTGTTATTGGGTTATTAAGGCATCGAAATTTTGAAGTTTATTTCCACAGCTAGCATTATTGTTTTGGCACCCCCATAGAACCCTTACTTCCCACAAGTCCCTTTGTTTAAGGGGATAGGATGACACACAAAGTAGGGACATCACAGAAAGCGGTATCCTAGTGTCAACAGAGGCACAAAGAAAAAAGAAAAGAAAAAGAATCGACTCTGAGAACGAATTCTTAAAAAAGCAAGAAATATCCTGGATCTTCATTAAGGTAAGCTGGATGTGTGTCTGGTCAAGGTCACGGTACCACTACCACCCTGGCCCCTCATGTCTATTTTGAGGACTTGATATGCATGCCCCAGCCTTTAGACTAGACAGAAAGGTGTGTGTTTTGGTGCAAGGCTCACAGAAACAGACAAGCATATTGAAAAATATATATTAGAAAAAAAAAGTGATGGCTGCCCACCCCACCACACCCCGCCCAGCCTATTGGCAAAGGAGGGAAGGGACATAGACCAGTAAGGCATAGCAGGATGGAGTCCTGCTCATGAAGGTCTTGGCGAAACTGGAGGAATGAGCAATGCTGCTCTGGGGTCCAAGTGACAGAAGGGGATGGTGAAAAGTCAGCATCAGCAGGTGGCAGACCCAGCAGGAGGGAAGGAGTCTGCACCACTTTGGGGGGGAGGAACCCACAGCCGCAACAGTGGTGTCCCTGAGGAGCCCAGAAAGAAGCTTGGCAACAGAAGAACCCAGTGCAACTGGTCTTAAACTCATGACCAGGGGCAGCCTTATGAGGACAGAGGCCCAATGGTCAAGTAGGTGGAGCACCAGGGGACAATAGACTCAGATCCTGGTTTAGTGTCCTGTGGCTGCTGTAACTAATTACCATAAACTCCATAGCTTAATTGAACACAAATTTATTCTTTTATGGTTCTGAAGGCCAGAAGTCTAAAATCAAGATGTAGGTAGGCTTCTTTTATTCTAGGAACTTCAGATGATAATCTGTTTCCTTGTCTTGT